GTATCCCCTTTTTGCTGGTCTCCAATAGGAGTCCAAGATGGCGGATCCATGCTGTGTTAGCTGATAGAAGACCTCTGCATGAATCTCTCCTCGTTCTCCATTCTCTGTCAGTTTTCTCACTCCATTTGGTGCTTGGCTGAGTTCTTTATCTCTTCATGTGATGTTTTAGGTTTCAGGATTGCTGTTTTCTCTGTTCGGCTTAGTTTTTTAGGTCTTTGCTGTGGAGGGACGGCGTGGTGCTTCCGCCTAGAGTGCCATTTTGCCGGAAGTTGGTTTTTTTGAATTTTTTGCCTACTGTTTAAAAGCAATGTAAGCATGAGGTAAAATTTTAATGAAAGTTGTTGATAAAGTTTACTTCCAATGTGTTATTGAGGCTATAAAAATACTATAAACTAGAAATCATGCTATATTAACATAGGAAATAATCGCTTGTTTCTCAATTGTTCGTTAAATTGTAGGTGGCAGAAAAGAAAGATTTAAAAAAATACTTTGAGTCAGACCGCTCTGAATATGGCACAACACATTTCAAACTGCCTCAATATAGACGCTTATTGGAAACAATTTTCAGGTTTCTGTTGCTGGTTGACTGCATATTTCAGGAACTCATCCGTCAACTTATGAACACGGCAATCATACTACTTTTGAATTTATTTAATGGGTCTGCTATAATGCCATTTTCAGTGGAAGAAAAGAATGAAGATCTCATCAGGTAAATCACTTTTGACTTATAAAATGAATTTATAATCATAAGCTTTTCATGGTTTGAATTATGTCCCCCCAAAAATGTGTACATCAATTTGGCTGGGCCATGATTCCCAGAATTGTGTGGTTGGCCTCCATTTTGTGGTTGTAATTTTATGTTAAAGAGGATTAGGGTGGGATTGTAACACCACGCTTACCCAGGTCATATCCCTGATCCAATGTAAAGGGAGTTTCCCTGGGGTGTGGCCTGCACCACCTTTTATCTCTCAAGAGATAAAAGGACAAGGAAGTGAGCAGAGAGTTGGGGACTTCATACCATCAAGAAAGTAGTGCCAGGAGCAGAGCTCGTCCTTTGGACCGGGGTTCCTGTGCTGAGATGCTCCTAGTCTGGGGGAACACTGATGAGAAGGCTGCTAGAGAGAAAGACTTCCCCTGGAGGTGACACCCTGAATTTGGACTTTTAGCCTACTTAACTGTAAGGAAATAACCTTCTCTGTTAAAACCATCCACTTGTGGTATTTCTGTCATAGCAGCACTAGATAACTAAGACAAGCTTATATTGCCACTTATGAAGGAAATAGCTAATAATTTAAGTTAGAATTTGGAAGTTCTTCTTGTAGCAAAGAATAGTTTATAATCATCTTTGCCAAATTTAGTATGTGGTAATGTTTTACTTAATACTGTCCTTAAAATTTAAGAAAATTTCCTTAAGTTTTTTCAAAATTGTGCATAGGTAGGTTGTCATATAAAATAGAGGATGCTCTGTGAAATTTGAATTTCCAATAAATAATGAATAATTTTTTAGTATGTGTGTCTTAAATATTATTTATAGTATAAAATCATTTTTTATCAACTAGTGCTGCTATAACAAAAGTACAGCAAGTGGATGGCTTTAATAAACAGAAACTTATTCTGTCACAGTTTAGGAGACTAGAAGTGCAAATTCAAGGCGCCAGCTCCAGGCGAAGGCTCTCTTTCTCTGCCAGCTCTGGAGAAGGTCCTTGTCCTCAATCTTCCCCTGGCTCTAAGAGTTTCTCAGTGCAGGGAACCAGGTCCAAAGGACACGCTTCACTCCTGGCTCTGTTTTCTTCTTGGTAGGAGGTCCCTCTCCTCTTTACTCGATTATCTCTTTTATATCTCAAAGAGTTTGACTCAAGATACAACCTAACCCTGTAGATTGTGTCTTGCCTCATGAACACAACTGCCTCTAATCCTGCCTCATCAGCATCACAGAGGTTAGGATTCACAACACATAGGATAATCACATCAGATCATAAAATGGTGGACAACCACACAATACTGGGAATCATGGTCTAGCCAAGTTGACACACGTTTCTGGGGGACACAATTCAGTCCAGAACATATATCTATATATATTAAAATTTGCAAAAGCCAGAACCTATGTAAGGCAGAAACCTGTCAGAGAAGAAAAACTCAAATATTTTCTAGTAAAAGAAGAGACAGAAAAGTGGTAAGACTGCATCCTCGCAAAGATAGAATACTTGTGAGACCTGGAAAAACAAGGCAATCTCATTGAGTTCTGGCTCTCACACGTTTCACTGTATATATATATATATGTATCTGTATATAATTTTGATGAAGTTCCTTTTATGTATTTTTCTTTGTGCTTGTGCTTTTGGTGTCATATCTAAGAATTAGTTGTTAAAAACTGGGTCCTGAAGCATTACCCTTATGTTTTCTTCTAAGTGTTTTATGGTTTTAGTTTTTACGTTTAGGTCTTTCGTCCATTTTGAGTTAGTTTTTATATATGGTAAGGGATATGAGTTTAAGTTCATTCTTTTGCATGTGGAAATCTAGATGTCCCAGAACCATTTATTAAAGAGACTATTCTTTCCTGTTGGATGTACTTAGCACCCTTATCAGAAATCAATTGACTGTAGATGTACAGGTTTATTTCTAGACTCTGCATTCTATTCTGTTAGTTGATATGTCTGTCATTGTGCCAGTATCAGACTGTGTTGATTACTGTAGCTTTGTAATATATTTTGAGATCAGGAATTGTGAATTCTCCCACTTTATTCTTCTTTTTCAAGATTTGTTTCACTGTTCGGGGTCCCTTGTCATTTCATATAAATTTGAGAATTGGCTTTTCCATTTCTGCAAAGAGGGCTATTGTAGTTTTGATGGAGATTGCATTTAATCTATAGATTGCTTTGGGTAGTATTGACATCTTAACAATATTAAGTCTTCCAATTCATGAGCACAGAATGTCCTTCCATTTATTTAGGTCTTCTTTAATTTCTTTCAGTAATGTTTTACAGCTTTCAGTGTACACATCTTTAACTTCTTTAGTTAGATGTATTCCTTGGCATTTTATGCTTTTAGGTGATTTTGTAAATGGAATTGTTTTTAACTTCCTTTACTGATTGCTCATTGCTGGTGTATAGAAACCCAACTGATTTTTGTGTGTTGATCTTGTATCCTGCCACTTTGGTGAATTCATTTATTAACTCTAGTAGTTTTTTTGTGGATTCTTTGGGGTCTTCTGTATATAGAATCATGTCATCTGGCAACAGGGATAGTTTTAGTTCTTCCTTCCCAATTTTGATAGTTTTTATTTCTTTTTCTTGCATAATTGCTCTGGCCAGAATTTTCAGTACAATGTTGAATAGCAGTGGTGAGAGTGAGCATCCTTGTTTTGTTCCTGATTTTAAGAGGAAAGCTCTCTGTGTTTTTCTATTGAGTATAATATTAACTGTGGGTTTTCATAAATGCCCTTTATTATATGAAGAATTTCTCTTCTAATCCTACCTTACTGAGTGTGTTTATTATAAACGTGTGTTGGATTTTGTCAAATGCCTTTTTCTGCATTGATTGAGATGATCTTGTGGTCCTTTTGTTCTATTAATGTGATGTATTACATTGATTAATTTTCTAATGTTGAACCACCCTTGAATTCCTGGGAGAGATACCACTTGATTATGACGTATAATCATTTTCATATGGTTTTCAATTTGTTTTGCTAGTATTCTGTTGAGGATTTTTATGTCTATATTCATAAGGGGTATTGGTCTGTAGTTTTCTTTTCTTGTGATATCATTGTCTGATTTTGGTATCAAAATGATGCTAGCCTAAGAGAAAGAGTTAAGAAGTGTTCTCTCTTCTTGTATTTTTTAAGAAAAGTTTAAGAATGATCAAAGTCACTTCTTCTATAAATGTTTTGTAGAATCCCCCAGTAGAGCCATCTTCTCTAAGACTTTTCTTTTTTGGGAGGAAGTTTTTGATTACTGATTCAGTCTCTTCACTTGTTATAAGTTTATTGAGATCTTCTATTTCTCTTCAAGGCAGTTTAGGAAATTCATGTGTTTCTAGGAATTTGTCCATCTCACCTAGGTTATCTAATTTGTTGGTGTACAGTTGTTCATAGTATTCTCTTCTGACCCTTTTTTTATGTTGGGTTGGTTGTAATGTCCCATCTTCCTTTCTGATTCTAGATATTTGCATCTTCGCCCTTTTTTTCTTTGTCAGTCTAGCTAGAGGTTTGTCAGTTTTATTGATCTTTTCAAAAAACAAGCAACTGCTTTCATTGATTCTGTTGTTTTCTATTCTCTATTTCATTTCGTGTTCATTTCTATGTTCATTTCCTCCCTCTGGAAGCTTTCAGCTTGGTTTGTTTTTCCTTCTCTAGTTCCACCAGTTGTCAAATTATGTTATCAATTTAAGATCTTTTTTCTTTTTTAATTGTATGTGTTTTACATTATGAATTTCCCTCTGAGCACTGCCTCTGCTGTGTCCCATAATTCTTGGTATGTTGTGCTTTCATTTTCATTTGATTCTAAGTATTTTCTAATTTCTCTCTTGATTTCTTCCTTGACTTATTGGTTGATTAATAGTGTGTTGTTTCATTTCCACCTATTTGTGTATTTTTCAATTTTCTTTCTGTTATTAGTTTCTAACTTTACTCCATTGTGGTCAGAGAATATATCTTGTATGTTTTTAGTCTTTTTACATTTATTGAGATTTGCTTTGTGACCTAACATATGGTCTACCATGGAGAATGATCCATGTGCACTAGAGAATATATTTCGTGCTGTTGTTGTGTGGAGTGTTCTGTACGTGTCTGCTAGGTCTAATTGCTTTGTAATGTTATTCGGATCCTCTACATCCTTGCTTATTTTCTTCAAGATTATCTGTCCATTGTTGAAAGTGGTGTATTGAAGACTCCTACTATTACTGTAAAACTATTTCTTCCTTAAACTCTGTTAGAGTTTACTTTATATATTTAGGGCCTCTGGTGTTAGAAGCATATATATTTCTAATTGTTTTACCTTCTTGATGAATTGATTATTTTATCATTATATAATATGTTTCTTTGTCTCATAACATTTTTTTACTTAAGGCCTACTTTGTCTGGTATTAAAATCCCCATACCAACCCTCTTTTGATTGTTCTTCTCATGGAATATTTTTTTCATCTTTTCACTTTCAACTCACTTGTGTCCTTACGTTTGAGATGTGTCTCTTGTAGGCAGCATATAGTTGGGTCTTGTTTTGTTTTGTTTTGTTTTTTTAATCTATTCTGCCATCCTCTGCCTTTTGATTGGAATATTTAGGCAATTTACATTCACAGTAATTACCAGCAAAGAAGGACTTACATCTGTCATTTTTCTGTGTGTGTGTGTGTGTGTGTGTGTGTGTGTGTGTGTATTTGTGTGTGTATTTTATGGCTTCTTTGTGCCTCATTTCCTCCAAAACTGCCAACTTTTGTGTTTTGTTTATTTTTTGTAGTGAACAATTTCTATCCTCTTCATCTTTCCTTTTGTGTGTATTTTTTAGATGTTTTGTTTTGTTTTTATCATGATGGTTAAATTTAACAACTTGCATTTATAATTATAACTACCTGTTTTTATTGATACCAGCTTAACTTCAGTAACATACAAAAACTCTATACTTATACTCTTCCTCCACTTCTGATTATTTGGTGTTTATCACTTATTACTTCTTTATATATCATGTGCCCTGTACTATATATATGCACTTATTTTTT